CCTCCAGATTGATAGTAATAGAGGATGGCATCGAAGCTAGGTCGGTTCCGATCAAAAAAGTATTCATTCCTCAGTGGATCAAAGTATCGCATGCGTTTCTTGGGGTTACCTAACAAGGTGTTGGGGAACTGGGCAAGGGTTTTCAGTTGTGTCTCAAACCTCAGGCCAGCAATGTTGATGACAACCCTCTCACAACATTCATGGTCATCATGAGCACCAGGCCGGTAGCTGTCCTGTGGGTGGCCTGGCAAAGCAGAAGTCTCATCCATGTTCTCCCCGACCATCACAGTCATGGCGGTGAAGGGATGGGACAGAAAGACTAGAAGATGGGATGTGTTGCAGAAGGAGAAGAGTTCTGAGAACCAGGGGAGAGAGAGGAATGGAGGACCTTGGAGGGAGGGGAGGCTGGGTCTGGAGACAGAACTAAAGAGTACATGCAGAGGAGATATGGGGTCCTGGTATGGACAGCTTCGAGAGCAAGATGGAAAGTGGGTTATTGGGGCTGGGAAACTCAAGGATATAGGAATGAGAATGGGGTGGGAGGCGTCCAGGCTGGAGAAAGGGAGGGATACGGGATGGCACACATTGGGGAGGGAAGGGAGAAAGGTCTCCAGTAGTACCCAAAGGGGTAGCTGAGGTCTCCAAGGACGCTCGCAAAACAAGGAGGCTGGAATCCTTCTTAGCTCCTTCCCGGTGTCTTTCTAATGCAGTCCCGCTGCTCTCCAGAATAAGATCATCGCTGCTGCAACGGTGGCGAATCAGCGGCTCCTGCTGTTGTAGTCACACACTTTTTCAACCCACCCCCAGCAAATAAATAAATAAATGCGGGCAGCTGGGATGGACGCAATGGCTTGAAATGCCGAGTCAGCGATATCCAGTCGCTTCTGACTTCCTTGGGATGGCCCCCCCCAGGCTCCTCTTTAATTTCTGTTATTTATTTAAAAAGAATAAAGCTCACTTCCGGGGAGGGGAGGCAACTGGTAGATACTGTAAAGGGACAAGAAGTATATTGATAAAAAAATACCCCTCTCTCATACAGAGGTAGCCAAACTGCAAGAGCCGTCATGGTGCAAGCAATTCCAGGGCTGCGGATGCATGCGACTCTTTGCAGAACGCGACCTGACCTCTGAGGAGTCTACTTTTGAAATAAGGAAATGCAGAACTCCCACACAGCAGACAGTGTTGTTTTGAGGCATCATTCTCTCTCTCCCCCCCCCCCAACCCCGCATCTTTGCTCATCCTAACTTTCTCGAGCCTTTCTCGGCTTCTCGGACAACTTTGCCTTCCAACCCCAACCTATCCGCAGAAGTCCCACTGACTTCTATGGGTCTAACACAGAAGCCAAGTGCGTATAGGAATTTGCAGCCTCCGACTCCTGCACGGCGAAATGGAGGGGCGGGGACATGGGGGGGGTAGAGGAGAGGAGGATCAGCGATGTTGCTGAAAAGGGGGGGAGGGGAAAATGCCTTGAAGTATTTGAAAGGGGGGGGGTGTCGCTTATTTCTCAGCCCCTGAGTCGTGGG